CAGAAGAGACCCCAAATCGTGGGGGGGAGAAAGGGGATAAAAATAAGTTCAGAAAAAAAAATTTGAAAAAGAAAACAAAGAAAAAATATAAAAAAGAAAAAAAATATATATATATTAGGCTGGTGACTACAGCAGGGTCATCCACTTAATTTTGGGAGTATTTTGGTCCCTTAGAAGAAACATGAAACATCATGTAAACATGATGAAGGGATGGAATATGCCTATAAAGATGAAGAAAAAAATTTTTTTAAATTTTTTTTTAAATTTCTAAAAAAGGAGTTGATAAAGTAAGTTGGTTGGGAGAACAAAGAAAACGAAAGTGGAGAGAATTTGCTTGGGCTGGAGACTAGAACAAGCCCAGAGCTAGATTTAGGGTATATTTTGATCTATTAGAAGAAGTTGTAAACCAAATTTTTTAGAAGAAAAATGCCTATGTGTATACAAAAAATAAAGTTAAATACAATTGAAGGATAAAATATGACTATAATAATGGAGGTTCAAAAAAGATTATTATTGTTACTTTTTTAATGAAAGGTATTTTTAAGATAAACTAGTTAAAAACGCTAAAAAAGAAAAAGGTAAAAGTTAAAAAAATTTAGCAGAAGAAAAAAAATTAAAAATTTAAAATAAAAATTAAAAATAAAAAAAAATTAAAAAATTTTTAAATTAAATTAACTGCAAGACTAAAGAATCATGGGGAGAAAGCCACAAGTTCCGTGCTTTGCTTTCTCCTCCTCTGGAATTCCACTGCTCTCCTTGGTAAGTGAACTTGGTCTTGGCTGGATTTCTTATTGATCTTCTGGGGGATGGGCCTGTTGTAGTGATTATCAAGTGTCTTTGCCTGAGGCGAAATTGAACCACCCTTACCAGGGGCCGGGCTAACTAATCCACTTGGGTTCAGTTTTGGGAGCTTTTGTTCCCTGAACGCTTTCCGTAGAGTTCTGGAGGACAGGAATGAAAATGGAAGCCTCCCAATCTCTGGCCTGGAGGAGCCAAGATCTCGGGGCCCCACTCTTCAGTGCGCCCTCAGAGAAAAGCGCTCAATCACTCCTGTCTCTCTGGCCTCCAACTGCGCTCTGAGCTCAGCCAGCCTGCGACCGGTTCAAGGTAATCCCGAGCTGAGAGCTCACTCCTCGGCTCTGTCTCTGTAGCTGGCCTCCCCGTTCTAATACCTTCGAGCTCTGTGACGCTCAGACACCCCTGATCCTTCTGTGACCCTGCGGGACCTGGGGCCACGCTGACCCTGCGTGGGCTTCACCCCGGTTTAGCCTCTGGAGCTATGTCCCTCAGTGGAGCAGACTTTTAAAAGTCCTGATTTTGTGCTCTGTTGCTCTGCCACTTGCCGGGAGCCAGCCCCTCCTCCCGCGGTCTATCTTCCCATCGCTTTGGATTCACTTCTCTGCCTGTCCTACCTTTCAGAAAGTGGTCAATTTTCTGTTTCTAGAATTGCTGTTCTTCTCGTTGATCTCCTGTTGGATTTGTAGGTGTTTGCAATGGCTTGATAAGCTATCTAGCTGATCTCCTGCTACCTGATGTAGTCTCAGCCTGCTACGTCTCCGCCATCTTCTGTTCTTTCCATCTTGTCTCATGGTCCAAGATGGCTGCTGGAGCTCCATCCTGCACATTTACATTCCTCACAGAAAGTTGGATGAGGGGGCAGTGTTTATGGATAAAAAAGGACACATGCTAGTTGTATTACCCCCCCCCCCCCCCCCCGCCTTATAGAACCTTCCTAGAATCTGCAACCTCAGTTTATATCTCAACAGCCATATCTAGATGCACAAGAGGCTGGGAATTATATTTTTGTTAGACATGTTGTTACTCAGACTAAATCAGGAGTTAGATATTAAAGAAGAACAGGGCACTTGATATTGTTTCAGTAACTACCAGCTTCTGTTACAGTGACCTGAGGGTTAGGGAGAGGATGAGAAATGGAGGATTATCAATATAAGTATAATTTGAATGAGCAACTCTGGTTTTCTTTTTCAATTCATAGACTATTTTTAAGGACAGTGTTAGAATTACAGAAAAATGAGCAGATATTTCAGAAAATTCCTATATACCTCTGGTCCCCCACATGAATGTGGTATATAATATGGATATATATTGTTGGGTTTGACTTGCTGGTATTTTGTTAAGGATACATTTTTGTTATTTTTACTTTGAACAGTTATCTATTTGATCAGTTAAAAATAAGAAAAATTTGAAAATTTATTTTACCTTAATATTGTTCTCTGATTCTCTTCTTTTCTTAATGCAGATCCAAGTTTCTGACCCATATAATTTTCTTTTTCTCTGAAAACTTTTAGCATTTTTTTGCAAGGCAGGTTTACTGACCATAAATTCTCTCCATTTTTGTTTGACTGAGAAAGTCTTTATTTTTTCTTCACTTTTGAAGAATAATTCCCTGGGTACAGAATTCTAGGTTGGTGGTTTGTTTTTTTCCAAAACTTTGAATATTTCACTCCATTCTTTTCCAGCTTGCATGGTTTCTGAAGAGAAATCCAATGTAATTCTTATCTTTGTTTTTCTATAGGTAAGGTGAGTTTCCCCCTGCTCTATCTTCTTTAAAGATTTTCTCTTTCTCTTTGGCTTTTTGCAGTTTGAATATGATATACCTAGGTGTAGATTTTTTTTTTTTTTGTATTTATGATGCTTTGTTTTCTCTGAGCTTTCTGTATCTGTGGATTGGGCTCTGTCATTAATTTAGTAAAATTCTCAGTCATAATGCCTTCATGTATTTCTTTGTTCCTTTTTTCTCTTTCTTCTTCTGCTATTCCCATTATGCCTTTCGTAATTGCTCCATAGTTCTTGGATATTCTGTTATGATTTTTTTCATTTTTTTCTCCTTGCCATTTTAGTTTGGGAAGTTTTTATTGACATATCTTCAAACTCACTGATCCTTTACTCAGCCATGTTCAATCTACTAAGCCCATCAAATGAATTCTTCATTTTTGTCACAGTGTTTTTAATTTCTAGCACTTCTCTTTTATTCTTTCTTTAAAAAATTTTTTTTAAAAGATTTTATTTATTTATTTGACAGAGAAGGAGAGAGATGGCGAGAGAAGGAAAACAAGCAGGGGGAGTGGGAGAGGGAGAAGCAGGCTTCCTGCTGAGCAGGGGCCTGATGTGGGGCTTGATTCCAGGAACACTGGGATCATGACCTGAGCTGAAGGCAGACGCCCAACAACTGAGCCACCCAGGCACCCCTCTTTTATTTTTTCTTAGGGTTTCCATCTCTCTCCTTACATTTCCATCTCCCTATTAAGTTATCTGCAGATTATCTTCTTTTTCCATTAGAGTTCTTAATTCTTAACATATTAATCATAGTTATTTTAAATTCCCTACATGATCATTTCAAAATATGTGTCATATCCAAGTCTAGTTCTTATGGTGTGTCTCTTCTGTATTTTTTCTTGCTTTTTGTATTCCTTGTAATTTTTTATTGAAAGCTGTAAATTATATATTGGGTAATAAGAAGTGAGGTAATTAGGGTTTTTAGTGTGAAGTTTTCTGTTAATCTGGCTAGAAGCTGGGCTGTGTTTAACATTTGTTATATCTGTATGTGCTAGAGGCTTCAGTTTCTTTCCTTTTCTTTCTTTCTTTCTTTCTTTTTTTTTTTTTTCTCTTACCCTGTTATGTTGGGGTTTGCCTAAGAACTTTTCTTAGGTAGGATCTGTGTTTTGCAGTCTCTCTGTTATAATCCACTGTTACTATACTGGAACCCTGTTGATATGGCAGGAAGGTATTGGGAAGGAGAAGTGTTTTATAATCCTGTGGTTAAATCTCAGTATTTTAATGGTTTGACTCCCTGGACTGTGACCTTCAGAAGGGTTTAACAGCATTTTTTACTTCTTATGTGAGACAGGAAAGCTAGACAGAGCTGGAGTCAGATAAGGCTCTAGTAAAGCAGTTTCCCTTAAAGAGTAGGCATTTGTTATGGATAACAGTCCAGGCATATTTTGAAATGGTTACTTTTCCCTTCTTCCTGACTAAGAGGATTTTTCTCATATCTTCACCATGAATATTTTATGGCGCCTTTTGATTTCAAACCAAAAAACTATGGGGATCACCTAAGACTGGGCTTCCAGGAGTCTATAACCCAGCCTCCAGCAATTTGTCAAAATTACCATTACAGTGTTTCCACCAGTTACTGGCTCTGTTGCTTTCACCTACTTGCATGCTTATCTCAGCTGTGATTCTCTATACTTTCCTGTATCTCCCAAGTTTCAGGGTGGTGATTTGCCCCCATGAACTTAATTCTTAGATGGATCTAAGAAAGGTCATTGATTTTTCAGTTTTACCAGCTTTTTGTTGTTGTTGTTGTTTGTTCTGAGAACAGGAGCAACAGCTTCTAAGTGCTTTATGTGTCAGAGCTGACACTGTAAGTCCTACATTATTTTCACAGGAGAAATAAACATATCTCATACTATTTACATACATGTCTGATTATTTCTTTAGAATAAATCACTAGAAGTTGTATTTCTGGATCAAAGATTATGACCATTTTAAGGCTTTTTCTTCATATTGCCAAATTGCTATCAAAAATGTAGTTTGTCTCTACTAACAGTACAGTAGAATTATTTTTGGAATTTTATAGATTTGGAAAGGTTTAAAAAATGACCTACCTAATAAAGATATTTATATACGTGTGCCTATTCCACTACTTTTTAAAAAAGAGTTATTTATTCATTTTTTGAGGGGGGGGAGAAGAAGAGTGCAAGGGTGGGAGGGAGAGAGGCAAAGGGAGAGGGAGAAAAGAGAGTCTCCCAAGCATTCTCCACACTGAGCCCTGACCCCCATGCGGGTCTCAGTCTTGCAGGGATCAGTTCCATGAGCCCAAGGTCAGGACCTGAGCCAAAACCAAGAGTCAACTGCCTAACTGACTGCACCACCCAGGCACCCCTCCATTACTTTTTAAAGGAGAGGAATACTTCCCTTTAAATTACACTAATCTCATTTTTGTATGTAATGCTAATGGACTGATTTTTGAATTGCAGTCTTCAGAAGCGAATTGCTGATTGTCGATTTTGGCCTGTAGAGATCACGAGAGTTCCTCTGACTACTGCACCCAAAGGGAAAGCTGCAAAATTTGATAAGGTTAATTTGTTTGCTTAAAAATATTTATATAAGAAAAGTCTGGTTAGATCCAACATTTTATTCTGCTTCTAATTCTGATACCAAAGGAGTGTGTGAACTGATGTGACTACTCTCTAGAGTGACCATCCTAACCTGATTTGCCAAGTAGTTTCCTGGTGTTAGCACTGAAAATCTCATATCCTGGGAAACTCTCCTGTCCCTGGCAAATCAGGATAACTGGTCACTCTAAGCTCCCCATTGTCCACTAAAAATTGTTTAGACTTTATTCCCAGACATCCTATTTCCCTCAGCTCTTCATTATAGTTTTATAAAACCACACAAAACAGCCATTTTTATAGGTCACAGTAGTTAAATATTGGCAATATTTTTCAACCTAATGCATCTTCCTGAATTTCTTTTAGACATGCTACTTATAATATTTCAGCCTGACAATTAGAGTAATAGAACTCATTGATGTACATTATTCTGAAAAGATCTAGCTTTGTGAGCCTATAACATGTTCTCTATCATTTTATTTGTGCACGTCTGGTCTTTTCTGCTTGTTCATAAACTCTTTGACGGTAGGGATCCTGTCATAGACTGCTTTGTATTCTCCACAGCACCTAGCATGATTCATGGTATATGGGAGATACTTAACAAGTACTGAAATTATTTTATTGATTTTTAAAATAAAGTTTTTTGCATAATAAAAATGCTACTGCTAGTAATCACTTCTCCCTTTGTAATATATAATGTACATTGGCTAACTTTTCTTAACAACACAATGTTATTACACAAACATAGGACTTTTTAATCTAATTTATAATTATTATAATATGTGAAATCAAAGAAATTACTTGTAATTTTGTGAGGATTAAATGTGTTTTCTTTCACTAAATTGATTTTTTCCTTATTAAGGTTTTCTATGGCAAACCATACAAATAAAAATTGTGTGGTTATATTAATTAACATGTTATTCATCTTTGTAATGGGAGTTTAGATGAAATTAGAGATGACAAATGCATGATGGAAGACTATCATTTATTCTTGTCAACCATGGCAGATATTATTGATTAATCAAAACACTCTTTCTTTCTGAACTCAGGTAAGGATACAGAATCTTCCTCAATACAGTACTCTGAAACAAATCCACCAATTTATAAGAATTTAGGCATAAGTTGAAGTCTATTTGTCTTCACTGGTCTGGATGATTTGTAAGGTCCCTTTCATTAATATAAATCTATAAACTAAAGCTAAAAGCCACAGCTTCTGACTCTTTAACATTTTTGTTGTTTTTATTTTATAAAGCTTCGCTTTTTCCTTAGAAGCAACATGGTGAAATTGACTTTTTGATTGAATACATATATTATTAATTAATTTGAGTATGTGTTGATCTAACTACTGCTTTTACTATTCATTAACACTGTGATGTGTATTATTTCAGAGATCATGGTATTATTAAACTCATTTTGAATATAAAGAAGTGTAGATCCAAAATATCTACGTAACTGGCCCAAAGCCAATAGTTATGTAGCATAGCTAGTTCCTAAAGCCAGGTCTTTGAATTACTAGGTCAGAGCTCCATATCTTATGCTACAATGCGCTATAGCACTAACAGCTCTCTGGTTTTATTCCTTTAGGCTGATGATGAAGGTCAGCTTTCATTTCATGGTGTGGCTTATGTTAATATGGTCCCATTGCTGTATCCGGGTGTGAAGAGGATTCGGGGAGCTTTTCGTGTTTATCCCTACCTAGACAGTACAGTCTATGAAAAGGTAAGAAAAAATTGTATAAAGGTATTATCCTAATTTATCCTTTATTTGTGTGTTTATTTACATCTTTAGCATACACATCTTTGCAATTGAAATTTGGGACTGGTTGCTATACTAAGGTATTAATCTTGCAGTCTGTCTTTGAACCCTAAAAACTTTAGGATAATGAAAAGCAAAAAACTGGAAACAACCTAAATCTCCATTAACAGGTGAACAGAAAAACAAATTCTGTTGTATATCTATATAATGAAATGCTACTCAGTGGTAAAAAAGGAATGAGCTATTGATACCTGCAACATGGATGAATCTCAAATACATTATGCTAAATGAAAGAAGCCAGATAAAAGAGAGTACCTAATGTATCATTCCATTTGAATAGCATTCTAGGAAAATAGTCTGTTGTGATGAAAAGCAGACCAGAAGTTGCTTGGGAACAGGAATAGAGCAAGGGACAGATTATAAAAGAATATGAGGGAAGTATTAGGGATGAAGGAAGTGTTGGTTATCTTGATTCTGGTGATGATTTCATATGTGTATATATGTGACAAAATTAATCAATTTGTATAATTTAAATATGTAGTTTATTACATTTCAGTTTTACTCAGTAAAGTCAGATACACAATCTTTAGGATAATGAAAGAAGTCTATTATGTTAAGTATGCAAAAACTTAAATCCATGAGCAGATTAATGAGCTACAATATGGTTCTTTCCATTTTCATGTGTTAAAATGTTGAAATCACTTATCTATCTTTTTTACCTATCTATATGTCTACATATAAATTGAGAATATATATATATTCTCAATATATATATATATTTCCCCCCCCTCCAAAACAAAAAGTCTATTTTACCATGTTGTTTCTTAGGAGAAAGTGAGTCTTTATAAAACACAACAATAATAACAAAAACATATTACTGTTCCATCATTATTAGGACAGCTATTTTTCAATAATAGAGTCATGAAAGATCTATCATCTATTTACAAACCAACTGAGTAAGATTCTTTCTATATAAGTATCCTTTAATCAGAAATCACACTTATAGGAATGTATCTTAAGAAAATAATTTAATAGAATCAGAAATTCCATATTCATAACAACTTTTTGGGATCTATAATAGTAAAAACTAAAAATAAGTTTAAATGTCTAATAATAGAGAAAGGTTTGGTAAATTATTATAAATAAAAATGATAAAATATGTGTCCACTAAAAAAGATAATTGTTAATGTTTTATAAATAGTTAAATGGACGAAATGAGAGCCAAAATGTTACATATAGCATAGATCAAAATAAATTCCAAATGAGTTTATTAAAATAGTTAAATATGAAGAATATAAAAGTAGAAGTGTTTATTAATGAAAAGATATGAGTTCAGGGAAGACTTCCTAGGCTTAAAAGCAATGAAAGATAATAAAAGATTAGATTACCAAAAAGGGAATAACTTCTATATATAGAAGAAACCATCATAAACAGAATTACAATGTAACTGAAAAACGGGGGAATATTTGAATACATATCTGAAAGTATTCCAAAATATAAAGCACCTTATCAAACTGATAAGAAAAACACACCAATTTTTTTAAAGGGTGCTGCTTCCTGATGGTGCACAGGAGAAGAATGAGGCACAAACAAGTCAGCTGCAAGAGAAAGGGAGCAGGGGGTGACAGTAGAAAATACTCTCACCCAAACAACTCCTCAGTCCTGTATTTATTAGATATTAGAAAGTAATCAACAAAGGAGCTGAAGAAGGCTATACATTAATCATATGCCTTGTATATAAGAAGGAATAGGAATTATACATTGATTATAACTCTTATAGATAAGCAAGAAGAAAAGCAGGATATGCCTGGTCAAGCAGTATAAAATTTATAGTTGAGCAAGCACATTCAAAGAGATCATCTAATTAGCCACAAGTGGTCTCTGGAATAGGGGAGATGACAGAAAAAAGAAGCAGGCAGTGTTCCACCCTGAGAGAGCTGGGCATCCCCAGATGCTCAGCTTCAAGGACATATATCATCCTCTCCCCCAGAAGCCTGTTGCCAGTATATGTTTTTCTTAAGGCTATATCTAAGCATGCTTGGTAACTAGTATAATTTCTCATGGGTTATATTTTAAGCAGTACGTTGTTCTGAGGGACAGTTACAAAAGGGCAAAGTACGTGAAACAGCAAATCACAAAAAAGAAATGCCAATGGTGAATAAGTATAAGAAGAAACATTTGGCTTTATCTGTAATCAAAGAATTGCAAATTAAAATAATAATAAAATATCATTTTACCTGTAAAATTAGACAATTCTTTAAAATATGATAATGCCCATTGATGGCAAAGATATAGTAAAACAACAACTCTCATTCACTGCTAGAAGTGAAAATTAATATAAATTATCTACAAAAAAATTTTTTTGTCAGTATGTATTAAGAAGTTTAGAATACTTAAATCTATTCCCATAGTATTCCTACTTCTATGAGTCTATTTTAAGGGACTAAGTAGAATTGTGTCCAAATTTTACTACATGAGGATATTCTTTGGCATCTGAGGGAAACAGCATATCATAATTGAAAGGTTATGGGCTTTGAAGTTAGTCAGCTGCTAGTTTGAATTATGGAACAGCCATTCACTAGCTGGGTGACTTCAGGCAAGTGGCTAAGTTTCTCTCAACTTTAGTTTATTATTCATCAGTAAAATGAAGACAATGCTTGTTTCCTAGTGTTGTTTTACATATTAAATGAGGTAAACTATCTGAAGTACTAGGGGTATAGTTGACACATGGACATTTTGATCTTTTACTTTTATTATATCCATATGGTTGGAGAATATTGTGTACACATTAAAAATTATCCTTATAAACATTTTAAAAACATGAGATGATGCATGTGATTGTCTATTAAATTAAAAATCAGGATATAAAATTTCATTCAATATAATCACAACCTTTAAAAAATATGATCATAACTTTAAAATATATAGAAAATATTAGAGAGGACATCTTTCTGTCTATGTCTGAGGGAGTAGGTTGTCAAATTTTCTACCTCTCCCCCTCCAAAAGCAGCAGTAAAGCTGGACAAATTGACAAAAAAATCATTTCATCATTATAGAGATTGACCAAAGGCATCAACAAACTGAGAAGTATGAATGCATGAAAAACTATGGATTCTGAGGTATTATTGTTTAGGGCTGCTCCTAAAACTTCCCTAAGCTTTTCCCTACTCCATTCCTTTGTCTTAATCAGTGCAGTGATTCTTCTAGAACAGGATAGGCTGGGAGGACTAACAACTTTGCTGCCATCGAAACTTCAAACAATTTGGAGCAGTGGGTTAAGGACTGATGCCCAGTGATGTTGTTGGTTGAAATGGAGATCTTGTGGAGAGCAACCAGTATGATTGTAATAAGAGTCCCAGGATAGAAGAGAGAGTAAGAGGCAGAAGTGATACATAAAGAAATAATGCCTGATCCAGATGGCCCACAGACACATGAAAAAGTGCTCAACATTACTTGGCATCAGGGAAATAAAAATCAAAACCACAGTGAGATACCACCTCATACCAGTCAGAATGGCCAAAATTAACAAGTCAGGAAATGACAGATATTGGTGAGGATGCAGAGAAAGGGGAACCCTTGTACACTGTTGGTAGGAGTGCAAGCTGCTGCAGCCACTCTGGAAAACAGGAGGGAGCTTCCTCAAAAAGTTGCAAATAGAGCTATCCTACGACCCAGCAATTGCATTACTGGGTATTTACCCTAAAGATACAAACATAGTTGATCGAAGGGGCACATGTACCCAAATGTTTATAGGAGCAATGTCCACAATAGTTAAACTATGGAAAGAACCTAGATGTCGGGGTGCCTGGGTGGCTCAGTGGGTTAAAGCCTCTGCCTTCGGCTTGGGTCATGATCCCGGGGTCCTGGGATCGAGCCCCGCGTCGGACTCTCTGCTCAGTGGGGAGCCTGCTTCCTCCTCTCTCTGCCTGCCTCTCTGCCTACTTGTGATCTCTCTCTCTCTGTCAAATAAATAAATAAAAATCTTTTAAAAAAAAACACCTAGATGTCCATCAACAGATGAATGGATAAAGAAGATGTGGTATATATATATATATCTACTACGCAGCCATCAAAAACCCTGAAATCCTGCCATTTGCAACAATGTGAATGGAACTAGAAGGTATTATGCTAAGCAAAATAAGTCAGTCAGAGAAAGACACTTATCATATGCTCTCTCTGATATGAGGAATTTGAGAGGGGGGTAGGTATGAAATGAAATGAAATGAAACAAGATGGGACTGGGGAGGGAGACAAACCATAAAAGACTCTTAATCTCAGGGAACAAACTGAGGATTGCTGGGGGATGGTGGGGAGGGATAGGGTGGCTGGGTTATGGATGTTGGGGATATGTGCTATGGTGAGTATTGTGAATTTTTTAAGACTGATGATTCACAGACCTGTACCCCTGAAGCAAATAATACATTATATGTTAATTTTAAAAAAAGAAGAAATAATATCTGGAAATGTCCCATGTTTGATGAATACATTAATCTTCATATCCAAGAGGTTCAAAGAATCCTTGGTAGGATAAACATACAAAGAGATACAATATAGACATTATAGTGAACTGTTAAAAGACAAAGAGAAAATCATGAATTCAACAGGAAAAGAACAATTCATTGGTTATAGGGGTGCATGAGTGTAGTTAACAGCTGATTTTTCTTCTGAAACAGTGGAAGTCGGAAGGCAGTAGAATAACATATTCAAAGTGCTTAGTGAAAACTCTAGCAATCAAAAATGAAGGCGAAATAAAGACATCACAGGATAAACAAATATTAAAAGACTTTGTTACTAACTCATTTGTCTTGCAAGAATCTCTAAAGAAAGTTCTTCAGCTTGAAAAGATATGGCAACAATTGCTAATGTGAATCCATCAGGAGAAACAAAGACCACTAGAAATGGTTAAATTTAAGTTACTATAGGGGTGCCTAGGTGGCTTAGTGGGTTAAGCCTCTACCTTCGGC